ATTTCACAGCTGCATTAAAATGACTGTTTCACCAGCCAGAAATCAGAACATTTGATATGGATGTTTTTCAGTATATATGGCATGGGCATCTATCTTGCCCTTGTTTCACATTCTTTTCACTGCTAATTTCCCTCCCAAAACCATTAATCATTTTTTTTTTTTTTCACTCACTTCAGGAACAGTGTGAAGGGTTCATCAGTCCATTCAGAGAAAATTTCCCTAGTTCAGAAAAAAGGATTTGCTCTGGTTTTAAACAACATTGCAGAACCATCTAAAGCCAGAGCCCTGGAGTGGCAGGGAGACATGAACAGGGCTGCTGAAGCAGTTTGGCCAGTGAGGTGGAGATGTGGGGTTGCTGCAATGCTGCACTGATAGGGCAGACCCACAGACATCACTCTTAGGGAGTAAAGGTTCAGGGAGCACCCTTTGTGGGACACTGAAGGGAGAAGGCTCCAGAAATCATCTGGCCTGCAGGCAGCTGAGCAGCCCCAGCTTTGCATGCCAGCACTCCTTTGTCATCAGCCCATCTGCCAGGCAGGGGAGCTGGCAGAAGATCAGACAGGTACAATGAAAACCTGTTGTTTGCCAGCACACCTTCCTCAGAACAGGCCCTTATCATGTGGCATCTCAGATTGTCTGAAATCCAGTGGGAATGTGTTCACCTGGAGCTTCTCCAGCCAGCACTACAGATTAACCCTGACCAGCAGCTGCAGGCTGAGATAATGTTTGTGAGCACAAATTTCTGTGCAAATATATGTTTCATCTATTTTATACTTTTTATGAATATAAACAGAGCTAATCAATGAAAACAACACTTTGGAAAGTTTAAAGACCTGTTTTTATTAACCTTGAAAATAGCTTCCCTTGAGGGGTTTTCTTTCACCAATCTAAATATTTAATATTGTATTTACTGTCCTTGTTATTAAAGAAATATTTTAATGAAGCAAAGTGGGTAATGACTTGCAGACCACTGATTGTCACAGGAGCAGAATATTAGAGATCATTAAAAGAAATAGGCAATCCCTTATGCTAAAGGTGAAATAATCTACAGGACCTTTGAGCCTGCCCTGTAATTCCATACTCCCTGAAGCTGTCAGAGTTTCAGGAAGACCATGGAATGCAGGATTTGTGTTTTCTAAGACATAGCACTACCTTATTTGCATTTTCATTTGCAAATAAGTCCTGTCCTTTCTCCTGGCTGTACTTTTTTCCATTTAATTATTTTCTTAGTTTTACATATATATAAAACTAAAGAACCATGGAGATCAATTATCCCCATGGACATAAATTATTAATCAAAATATAGTGATTTAGTAGCATTAAAAAATTGTGCAATGAACTTTTCTAATTAACTGGTATATGAAAAGCAGAAACAAAATGCAGCTAATTTATAGAGTTGGTTGGTTGGTTGGATTGAAGAAAAGGGAAAATGCTAAATGATTGACTTTGTGACTCCATGTTTCCCTCTTTTCAACTCTGATTAAATAATTACTATCAAGTTTACAGAACTATCAGTGGTACAGAACAAAATTAAGCCCTCCTCATGAAAAGCTCAGATTTCCAGAACAAAAAGCACAACACATCATTATGTGGTAACACTGGAAGATAATAGTAAGGGGAAGGTTTCCAAAGAAAGATCATCTGTTTCATGATATATGAAAAAAACCCCAGCAAAACAAAGAAAAATCTCATTAAGTACCTTAGATTAGTACAAAACAAAAATTGAAACTCTCATCCTATTATTAGAGATGCAGGATTTGATACATTACATCCTCTAATTCTTTCTGCTGTTTCACTCATTGCTTTGTTTTTGCTTCTTAGACACTTGTTCATATAGAACCAAAATCAAGAGAAAACAACAGGGCTAACCTCAAACTGGTAATGTATCAAATCATGCAGAAATCAAAGCCATCTTGGGAATCCTGGGAAATCTGCTCTCCATGTTACAGCTATTAGTACCCATTCAATGGTTACACTCTAAGATTTGGGAAAATTTCCCTGTTGTGCCATTCATGAGCGTAAGTTTCATTGTGCCATTGCTTAAAGTTAGCTCTCTTTCCAGAACTTGCTTGACTCAAAATGGATATTAAAGCAGATGGTTTAACACTTTCCCAACTGGAGTATTTTCTCTCTTTCTTTTTTCTTCTTCCCTAAAAGTGACTGTAAGTTTTTTGCCACTCAGCATATTCGTGTCAGAACTTAATTTCTTTCATTCTAAAATTCTTTCCTTTCCATCTAATAACTTGTATTTTAATAAGGGCTCACTGTTATGCATCTACTATTGTATCTTAAATAATCCCATCATAAATCAGGAACTATTTCCTATCTAAAAATAATTATATATCCTCTTAAAAACAACCGGCTGTTTTAACATGCATCAGATGACTCAAAATACACAGTGAGGAGGCATTTTCCTAGGTTTGGGAGAGTTTAAAAATGTCATCCCATCTTTCCAGCATGGGTGCAAATGAGTAGATCTTTTCAGAATTTTGGTTTGCTGGTTGAGAATAGCTTTCATCTTTGAAGCTGCCTGAGTTATGCTTTAATCAGTGGAGCTTTTTCTTTTTTTGAACAAAGTTACACCTGGTTTACCACTCAAAACACCATGTGGAAGAGTCCATGTATATAGAGTGTTTCAGTAAACCTCAGTAGAATAGCATTGATTTTAATGGATTGAATAATCTCATTCTGAAAGCTAAGAGTTCAAGAATTCAAATACTTCAAAGTGAGGGAGAAAGTGAGCTGAAAGTTTATCCTTCTAGCATAAGCTTCAGCCTGCAAAAACCTACCAAACTGTCCAGATCTGAATCTAAAACCACATTTTGGCATTCCAGACCAGCACTGCCTTCCACTTCAGGATCAAGCTTTATAGAGAACTCAGATTTTTAACCCCAAATTTCCCCACATAGACAGGTTTAGGCACACTGGTCTGTGCAGAAGCAACTTCATTGATCCTGCTTAATCTTCTCTCAACTGAGACCCAAAGCAAGAAGGACCTACATGAGCAAGCAGAAAACAAAGTTATTGGAGGTGATTAACTTGCCCCTTTTTCCTCTTTTACTAAGCAGTCTCCAGCTATTACTAACTTAAACATTCCTGGCATTACCATTATATTTGTACCTCTACCTCAATATCTCCTCTTCTTCACAAAGGTTGCACTCCCTATGTCTAAAACTTCCCAGTGCAGCAGGATGCTCTAACCTTCCCTGATCTGGTTTAACTTGCATTAACTGCACTTGTCCAGCAGCCTCAGCCTGGGCATTTTTATCCAAAATCATAGCTGGAGGACCTGCAGTCCGTTTTCTTGTACAAATCCTAGCAGTTAGATTTTTAGACCAACAGAAGACTTGAGATCATATCTCTTTTCACTCTAAACAGTTTTGACACTGTAACTGCCACTTTACAGAAGAAAATCTGAGTTTCCAGGCTACAGGAAGGAAGAGGAGCAGAGGAGTAGCAGGAACAGGCCAGAAGAAGAGCGAGTGAAAGGTGGTATGATGGGGCCACATTATCAATGAGAACATGTAGAAATGAGCAGCACGGGTTCTCAGCTCCCTAGGTAACTTTGGAGTTGAATTCACCAAGCGAAATACAAAAATTAAATGGTTATATTAAGTGGAGCTGCATTAAATGTCTGAATTAGAGTATATTATTTTAAGGGAATTTAACCACAAGTGGTAATCTAAGTATAACTGCGACCACGCAATGTGTGCAGCTGAAATAGAGCGCCGTGTTGGCAAACATTGGGCTGTTTCCTAGCTCAGAGCTGCATGGATCAAGCAGGCAGCAATTGTGAGGCTTTTGCATTAACTTACTGAGCTCCTATCACAGCTTGTAGAGGAGCAGCCAGTCACGCTGTAGACAGCTCAGATAAGTGTTCCTTGAAGACTGACATGTTGTTCCCAACTCTCTTGTCTAATTAAAGACCCAAAACATTATTCCACTGCAGCTGATGGCAGCACTCACTTGACATCAAAGGGAATCGAGATTTGCCATTCATTTATGAAGAACTATTTTTACCATATGATTAAAAAAAAAAAAAAAAAAAAAAAGCAAGGCAATTCACAGTGCATCCCGTGGCAGCACTTTGTGTTTGGGTGCTGGCAGACCCCAGTTCCACAGCGCCTCAGAGGTGCCTCTTGGAGCCAGAGATCAGCTCCACTATGAGGTTGCATGTAGGAACCAAGTTCCAGTCACCCTCAGAGATCCCAGCTCTGGCAGGAATCCCATCCTGCTGTTCAACTGGCAAACATGCTGGAAGACTGAAGAGCTTGCAAACTAAATAGACAAAGATACAAAAAACTCCATTGTGCAGATGAGAAGGCATATGCCAAGCGGCTCTCCTGAGTCTCCTGCTTTGTTTTGTGTAAGAGTGTAGCTGAAGATAGTTTACAATCAGGGCATAAGTGCTGAAAGAACTGTGAAAAATTAGGGATTACACCTGAGTCTGGAAAGCCTTGGCTCCCAAATAAGTGGGGGGAAATTGGAAAGATCTACAACCTTAAAATTGTTATATTATAAATTACCATTCTCCAGACGAAATGCTGAACAATAAGGTCTCAAAAAAGGAATCAAATAAGACAAAAATTTCTTCCTCCACAGAATTTTAATTTGTATTTTAGGCAAGGAAATATTTTTGAATAATTTATTGTTGCTGCTCTATAGAGACCTGCTGCTTCAGTCATAGTATGGTATGATAATCCTAAATGGAAGGTCCTGTGTGAAACCAAACTCTAAACTGTGTTTTGTATTTTAATGAAGATACTTTCACAACGTATTCCATTCTGGCTAATGAGATAGTAGCAGTAAATGCACCAGAAAGGACAGATGGAAGATAGTCAGCTGTCTGAATCAGAAGACTTTCAAAGTGCAGTAAACAAATGAACCACACTTTTCTGGCTGGAGGCCAAGCTATACTCTAGGGAAATGGTCAAAGAGTGGATCATGAAAAGCTTTTTGAGAGCAGCTAAATTCTACAGCTGTGGTCTTTGTTTTTCTAGCACTTTGCAAGAACAGAAGGGGGAATTACGAAAGCGCCTATCGTACACTACCCATAAGCTGGAAATGCTTGAAACAGAGTTTGACTCTACACGTCAGTATCTTGAAATAGAATTGAGACGTGCTCAGGAGGAACTTGAAAAAGTAACTGAAAAACTGAGAAGGTTAGTAATGAACTTTTTGAAATAAACAGAGTTATTGGCATTTTAAGAGTGACTGTATTAAAGATGTATGTAAGTAAAAGCAAACACAGTTGCAAACATGCATGATTTATTTATTAATTACACATTGTCTTATGTATTTAATATATAGATTTCATTAACCTGAATATATATTGCATGCCACATAAAGTTATTTACATGTGATATGTAAGATGCCTCTGTACTAAAAGCAAATATGCAAATAGAAATGCACCTATATATGTGCAAATATGACATTATTTATGCATAAACATACATGTGGGGTAGTGCCATATGGCATTACATGCACAAAAGTTATAAACCCACTACATATATATACATTTATTATTTATACTCTCTATATATAGATAAATCTTTTATTTCGTGACTTTGCACATTTTCTTTGTTTAGACTTCATTGTGCATACAAGAGAATAGAATTTGGGTCTCCATGACTCAAAGCTGAGACTATGTTCAGCTTTGAAACAACATTCAGGCATTTTGCATTATAGTACAGCAAATAATTTCCTTTTTAGTCTCAAGCAGAATGGAGTGATGCTGAAAAGCTATTATTTAAACTGTTGTAACTGTGGTACAGTGCTGTTGTAAATTGGGAAACTAGTTAATGTTAGTGATAAATTATGTTAAGCTTGTGCTCCTGACATTCCTGGCACTGATTAAAATGGTCTGTAGACTTAGCCTAAAATTTATCATGATTCTTAATACCCACTTTTGCATTTGTTCTCAAAACTTCTGTAACTAGAATTATCTACTTACACAGGAATGTATTTGCATGTCTTGTGAGCCTTTCTTAAACTGATATCTTAATAGAACAATTTGATTAATTCATTGGATGACTCAAAATGAAATTCAGAATAAATCATTCCAGGGCAATACCCAAAGAAATATTTTTCATTCCTTGTGGAAGGCAAAAGCCAAACCAAAACAATGACACAAACCACCGATAAGCTGAGTCAACCAAACCATTTTATGCAAATTTTAAACAGAATGAGTCTGTAAGATCTCAAATTAGGAAACAGCCTAGTGTGGTCTTATAACTTAAATGCTTCTCTAACTGGGGATACTTCTCAAAATGAGACTAAAATATGCAGGTGTTGTGGTGATTTTGAAATCTATACACATCTATCAAGAGCAGTCGGGAGGTTCAACATATAGTTTTCTTGTCAACAATACTTTTCCTGTTTTTTCACTTAGAGCAGAGCCACAGAAAGTAACTTCATTCCTGATGTAGTTTTGCTTCAGTACATTCCAGGACAGGGAACACTGGTGCTCTTTTCTCTTGCAGCATCGCTTTGGGCAGCTGCCATAAAACAGCAGAGGGGCTGTCCATCCCACTTCTGTTAAATCAGATGGGCTTCCTGGTCAGCAGAAAGCCTCTTATCAACTGCACTGGGCACCAATGAGTTAAGCACCCTTTGAAACTCAGGCCAGGGGCTCACAGCCAAGTCTAGCACTCATACCAGAGCACCACATTTAGCAGAACTGACTTTCCAATATTCTAATGGAACATTGTACCATATTATGAAGAAAACTTATATTAAAAATTATGTTTCAGGCAAGTGATTACTCCCCTGAAGACATATCATAATGGAAGCCAAAAATATTTTACGAGGTGAGCTTTAAAAATGTTTCTATTGAGAATAGCAAGGCATCCTGCAACTTGAACATCAAGATTTGTCAGCCTGGAGAAGGATAATGTCTGAAAAAAAACCTGTCATCCAAAAGCTTGTCAGCAACATGTCACAGAGGAAAATCAATGTGAGAAAAACAAAGAAGTAGAATTAGTTTCAATTATGTGTCTCTTCCTTTATTCACTGCACAGGGAGAGAAATTCATCCCCCCATAGATGAATAGGCCCTGTGAAACAAGATCCCACTTGTACACTGGAGAACATCTCTGTTATTAAATTTCCTTTTCTGTAAAGTGCAATTTTCTTTTCCAAGAGGCTGAATGACTATCCTTTTGTAAACCTTTCTGAAAGTCTTTGTCTTAATTTCTCCAGAATTGCCTGTGCTGTTGCTAGGCTTCCCCAGTTTTACTCAAGAGAGGAGGTCACTTGTGTGGCTCAATGGTCAAGTTTTCAACCTCTCTACAAACATTCAGAGATGGCCCCTTTCTTTTTTTCTCAATGGGAGAACAGTGCTAACTAAATTTGAAAATTACAGCAGTAAAGCATAGGTTCAGCTTTGAAAAGTGACTGAAAAGAGAGGGGATTTCATATTCCTTGCTGTGGTCCCTTTTCTGACATAGTCAACACAGCTTTTGTAAGTTAAAATCTAAAAAAAATCAAAATCCAAACTTGGAATCACATCTGGACTCCAAAGTTCACTTTGGGTTTCTTTCTTGAGGCCTTGCCCTGGGTAACAACTTGATGAGGTCCCCATTATATCTTTTACCAGAAAGTAGAGTTATTTTAAGGCATGAGAAGCAAACTCATAAAAGCATGTATTTAGCACTGAGATTAGCCCACACATATAATTATTTCACCAAAAGCAAGACATTTCACAGACTGAAGGGGTGTTCTGAACAGGAATACTGGAGGAAAAACTATTGTTTTTATAAGAAAGTTGGTATAACTTGTGACAACAGAGAGAGAAAAATTTTTTGAACAAGAAGCTACTCTTTCAAGAGTCACTTTTCAAAGCTAACTACACTCTAGAAGAAATTCTCTTATTTAAAGAAAGTCAGTCCAAGGCTGAGTTTTACTTTAGATGTATTTATTTGCCTTAAGAGGGCTTGAGATTGAGTGGAAGGAGAGAAATAGAGGCTTTTGCAGACTCCCTCTTCAGTGGTGACCCGCAGCCTTAGGGCTGTTGTCTGATGGGTAGAGCACAGACACCTGACATGTTCAATATAGTCAGAATATTTTTCATGAGGCCCTTATTTGGTCAAGAATCTAAACCTTTGTTTAATGAGTGCACATATTTGCACCTGAAGTCACACATGAGTATCTCCTAATGACATGAACAACACAAAAATACATCAACACACCATAATTGTTTATCAATTCACATGATTTTATCCTTAGAGCAGTTTTGCAGCATAGTGTAGCCTACCCTTCATTTTATTTTCAAGTCTAGATTTACAAGGTTAAAATATTTCATCCTTCACAATGTTCAGGCTGTCTGGATGTATTTTTTCTGCAAACAAGGTTAGGTTACCATTTGCTCATCAGATCATTTTCAAATTTGAATAATTTTCCCTACTTTTTATTTCCCCTTCCCTTTATCTTACAGTTTTGCCTAAAGATTGATCTGACTCTGTTCCTCTTTTATCCTTTAAACACTTCCTTTCATGTATTTCTGGGTCCATTTCTCTCCTTGCCACCTACATTTGCTGACACTTCTTTTGGCACAGTGAATTTCCAATTTGGGGTTTATACATATACGTGCATGTGTATGTGCTTGTGTTCGTGTGTATGTGCTTGTGCTTATTTTGACTACTTTTGCATACTGTTCTCAATAGAAACACTTTTTGAAGCTCAGCTTCCTACTTACTGTGGATTTTTTTTTAGATTTGATTTGATTGTACTGGGAGGTGGTCATTTCCTCAGTCCAAAATGAATGTGGTAGAGAGCTAGAGTTTATGGGCTACTTTCACCTACACACACAACAGGCAAAAATGTGATGGGTAAAGGCAAAACAAGCTACAAAGTGAGAAGCAGATTGTATAAACTCTTGCAAAACCCTTTACCACCATCTATGGTGTGGAAGTGTTGTCATTGAAAAATAATTCATGTGAATTAACATTTCAATAATCCATATCAAGAGAAAAAATGAAAACAGAAGCTGAGGAACAAACCCATTGTTACCATGATAAGTCTGTTATCCAAGCAGCAATTACTGCCGTTTTTATTTATTCATGGTCTCCAAGTTAAGGAAAGGGAACCTTCAGGGTCTCCCTTGAGCTGTCCACATCAGCAACCACTGCAGAACAGCCTATGGTGCAGGGGCACCTGGGCTAGAAAAACCCTGAACCACATTCTTTCTCCCCTTTACTTTCAGAAAGTTATGCAAGTGCTTTTGAACCCATGCAAACTTTTATGGTATTGCAGGTGCTGATGTTTAAATCAGTTTTTACACCACCTCCACTTGAACCACAAACTGCCTGGGTGCAAAGCAAGTTTAACCTGTTCTATTTTGCTTTACTAGACAAAAGCTATAAACCATGACAGAGAAGATGCTGGGGCACTTCTAGGCTCAGCCAGAAGTCACTATTTTACTTCTCTAAATCCTTTCTTCCTGCATCATGGCATGCATCCTTACCAGCTAAACTTTGTGCTGAGTAGCTGCAGGCAAAGCCATTTTAAGCCTCCTTGTATCAAGATCATCTCTGCTTTCTTCTGAACCATGAAAAGATGGGTACAGAGTACCCTGAAATCTGTCTCTGTTGTGTTGACAGCTAAATGGCTGGGAAAATCCCAAGTAAACCTAGAGCTGCACAAATCAATGTCTATAGAGAGGCTTAGAGGTAATGCTGTGAGGAGCATGGACAATGCAGGGAATTGTAAACTTCAGTCAATCCTTTAAGAAAAAGGACACAAACACAATGGCACTGTGAGAATTGGTGAGTATTGACCAAAGCTCACAGCACAAGTCTCAGAGATTTTCAGCCCATTTGGGTCACCACCTTAGCAAACACTATTGACCACAGATCCTCCTCACAGGAAGGAAGCCTCTGCTCAGCAGCTCTGTAAAACATGGGCAATATGAGACTTGCATATTGGAATGGCTGCCCTGATGGTGGGCTGACCCTTGGTAGCCTGAGGAGGCTCACCCATGGGGATGTCATTATTTATATCCTCAGAAGGGATGTCCTTGGCACAGACATCCCCTCTCAGGTCTGTCAGCAGATGTTACTGCAGTGCTGGTAGACCCAGCCAGAGCTCTGCATCCCTTCAGAGGGACACTGCAAGCCACTGGTCTGCCCTGGATGGAGAATTCCTATCTTTTAACTGGAAAGGAAATCTCCATGGCAACAGAAGCCAAGATAAGCATCACATTGCCAAGAAGGGGTGGGCTGGACCTTTTGATTTGCAGCTATGGCATGTTTGGAAAACAGATCATTCCAGTTTCAGCAGCCACTCCTAACCAAATGATAAACAAAGAGACTTCTTTAATCTCAGTCCCATCCTGATAATCACAGAAACTGCACCGAGATCCAGACTTCTCAGAGGAAGTGTTTTGTTGTACAAATGTGGATTACGTCTGAGTTAACTCTTACAGTAAAAAAAACACTTGCACATTTCCTAAAATCTCCTCACTGCTGAAAATACTTTGACCTATTGATCAGTCCAGCCATATAGATATATTCAAAGTTTTCACAGCTGAGCTTCTAACATTTGCTTTACATTTGTTATATATCCTGCTGAGGTGATGGGTACTAATGAACAAGGAGCTATCCTCCTTAGGTTCTGTGGAGATAAAACTACAGCTGCTACCAAAATGCCAATGGTTTTTCCACTGGCTGTGCAGGTTGTTCATTACAATGCCGAAGTTACCATCTAAGTAACCTAAAGATGTGCAGGCTGAAACTTTTCTTTGGTGTGTTGCTCTGGAATAAGTAGGGAAGCCTCATTTTGTGAGTTCATTCAATCCCTAAGTGCTGATAAAAATAAATACCCATCTTTTCTCAGTTAAGCCATTTAAATATACTCCCTGGAAAAAATAGACAACTTCTTGAACTTTTGTTGAAAGAAGAAATATTCTCTTCTAAGTCACATGTTGATGTCCACATGTTGCTACAGTCATTAGGATTCTGCTGCAATTTCACAATAAATCTTTTTTAGTGCTGCCTCAGCCTAGAGCTCCAGCTTCCTCTCTTACATACTATTCTTGAGCCTGATGTAAAACTGCAATTACCTTGTGCAAGTTCCTAGGCTGTATCTTGTGTCTGCACACAATGCAGAATGTCCAACATATCTTCACTTCCTGCTGGAATGTGCTGCTAAATATAGTAAGAAAATATGACAAGTTGGGAAGTTTGCTTAGGAAGCAGGTGGTAATTGCATTTCAAAGGCAACCACTGACTGGTAACAGGAGTGATAAGCAAATAGAATTCGAGTAGTGCAAGCCAAGGTTTTGTACTAATGTGAAAATACAGGTAAAAAAAACAACATGAAAAGCAATGCATTCAGTTACATGATATCATCTTTGTTTTAGGATACAAAACAATTACCTAGCCTTACAAAGAATTAATCAGGATCTGGAGGATAAACTTTACAGAATGGTAAGTTATCATAACTACTTTTTTTAAAATATATTAAATGTGGTTTTGTGGTTCTTGAGTCATTGGAAAAACATGCATGTAGCTGTCACAAAAACACCCTCAAGCTCTAAAAGCAGTTATGCTTAGAAAAGATATCATGATGAAGAGCTCAAGCTGTGTACAATGACATAGCTCCACCAATTTAAATAGAGATTTCCTAGACTGATGATCTAGCTGAGTAAATTGTACGTTTAAAATAATTTTGGTTAATTTATTTAATAACTTCATGGGATCTAAATATTTATGTTTTCATTAAGTATCAAATTTAAATAAGGTAATCCAAGGTTTTCTCATGCTTTTTAGCTACTTCCACTCAGATTTTATTAAGTGATTTAATAGAGTTTGGGTGGCCTGACTTTTAAATTCCTTCATAACTATCAAGCTCAGTGTATTAAGTTCCAATCTGCATGTGTCTGCCACCACAATGTCACTGTCACTGTCACAGGCCAATTAATAGCCAAATGAGGAAAATACTGCAGCCTTTGTGGGCTCAAGGACTGCAAGACACAGCACCACTGGTTCAAAATAGCCTGAAGATGTCAAAAAGAAATGGCAAAGCCATTGGGGCCCTGGCTCTTTGCTGATGATGTTGGGCCATTGTGCTCACTGCTAGGGGTAAAACTACAAAGGAATGTCAGTAGGATGTTTAGAGAGGAAAGAATTACAGTTTTGAACTTCCAAAGATCCCAGACAGCAATTGCATGGATGAGCAGCTTGGACTGGGGGGAACAATTTATTGTGGATTTTGGGTAAGCACAGACTACAGCATGCAGGAGAGACACCAGCATTTACTAATAAACAAATTTTTGAAAATGCCATTGCTCTTATCTCAGAATCCTGTTTCAATAGCTAACAATGAATAGGAGATTGGGCTTTTGCAACTGGCTAACAACAGACAAAAATTACAGCTGGGCTGTAGCTGACATTTGTTCATAAATATATATTTAAACATTTTAAAAGTATAAATAACATTTGGTCTCAGGTTATTGCTTTTTTTCTCCACTCCTCCTTTGTTGCTTTTTCTTTTTGCCCAAATCACTTCAGGATTTTGTCTTCAGCTGTAGCACAACAATTATTTCCTATGCACCATAAAAGATAAATAGAGTCACTCAGGCTGGTAAATGAAATAAAAATAATAGAAACAGCCAAAGAAGGACTCCAGAAAATCAATGTGTTTTTATCAGGTATTTCAGATCAAAGCAAAGAATTTTTAAACTGCTGTTTCAGCATCCAGTTAAATCCTTGAGAAATTATTTCAGAGCACAGCACAGGAAAACTGAAAACCAGTCTTGTGGAGCACTGTGCCTTTCTTTATCCCACTAATATGACAGTCATTGAAGATAGCTTTAGAGGCTTGAAGAAGATCAATCAGGCTCTGTACACCACTTAACTCCAGACTGCTTTGCTTTCTGAAATATTGAAACTGAAGACACAAAACAAACCAAAACAAATGTCAAATAGAAACTCCATTAAAAGGAAAAAGATGAGGAAGAAAGTACCATATCTGGTTTAGATAAGTCAAACCTTTTGATTTTCAGGGCATTCCAGGAGCCCTCAATACTTCAGAGACAGTTAAATTAAATAACAGCTGGTCTGGCTGATCAGCAGCTTAGGGTAGACTGGGCTCTTGGATACCTTTCCCTCCCTTTCCTGCTTAGGAGGAACAGCTGTGTGTATTTCTTGTTTTGTTTTGTTTTGTTTGTAATTCTAAAATCAAACACTTTTGATTTCTCCACCTTTAGACAAATCCAAATCTATAAACGATGTGTTTACTTTCTCCCTCTCTCCCCTATCCCGTCCCTCCATACACACATGTGAATACACACCCCCACACATGTTTTTACTACTTGGTGGGCTCAAATTCAACAAGTAGGAAAAGAAAGACCCCCCAGGCAGTGGTTCCTTGCTCCCCTTGCCTGCAGGTGGCACGGGATGCTCTCAGGAGGTGAGTTACTCCCTGCCCTTACAGGGGACTCACAATTCCCCCTCTCCCTGTGACTGGTCCCTGCTCATTGTAACTCATCTAAGACTCCACTGTGACTCCCTTTTCTAACATTTTTGGTACCCTGAATGTTAAAGCCTTTCATGCCTGCTATTGGTATAACAGATGTAAAACAACAATCATTAATTCAGCAGCAGTCACAGAAAAGAAGCTGATGCAGCACTTACTTTTCTTCTAGGCTCTTCTTCCTTTTGGGTGCTAATCTATAAAATATTTAAAAATATTTGAAAGCACACTTGTGATCACAGCAAATGGTATCCAGTTGAAATCTCTGTCACATCAGAACTTGAAGTATAAAATATGAACCATGGTGTCTGACTTGGCTAAGTGCTAAAAAATGCAATCCTGAAATCAAGGGAGAGCTTGCTGTATTAAACTGGGCAAGACTAAACACATGGAACAGTAGAAGAATGTGGCACAGAGTTAAAATTCTGCTGTAATGCCTCATAAAACCCCTGTTCTTACTACAGTAAGTGTCTTCAACTGGAGAAGATTTCTTTAGTCTTGTAAGAACTGGTTAAGGAGTGGAATATACAGGCTGTCTGTCTAAATAATTAATCTTAATAACTCTTTTCTCCATTATGGGAAAAGACTGAGCAGAGTCCTCACATTTTGCACTGAGATTGTATCACAGCAGTGTTCAATCAAATAACGTTTTATGATATTTAGTTCCAGTTGTCATCAGTAACCTTCACTTTCCTTTATATTTGGTTGAGCTTTTGGAGCCTGCTCTGCCATGGTCCTGCTGCTCACAAACAGCAATTACAAGTAGATTATGTAAGTCACCCCAACCACAAGAAATCCTTTATATGATCTCAATCCAGCTGTATTCTCCATATGATCCTCTCTAGAGTTAAGCAATGTATTTTAAAAAGCTTTTGAAGTTTTCAAGGCTTTTGGTTGCAGTTAGCTCTGTAGTTTTACCTTTAATGCCATAAGCCAGATTTTGAACAGTATCCTCTTTTGGGAAGAAATGGTGCCTAATAATAGCTGCTTAATAAACCCTACTGCTAATGAAAATTGCACCCATTTCTCCTCCTCCATCTGCATTCTGAATGTTCTTGAAAACATGATCACAGGAATCCAGCTGCAAAGAGCTCAGGAGACCTTATTATCCAGAAACACCCTAAAATATGCCTTTTTTTACAAAGTTTGACAGACAGACTGCTGGATGGCATCAGCTCTGGTTCCCACCTCTGCAAAGCCAGCACCAGCCCTCTGCACACAGTGCATTATACATTTTATGATCTTACAAGATGAAAACCCTTATGTTTTTGCAATAAAAAATTTACAAAATTTACAGCTAAATTTTACTGTAGAACTTTCAGAATATTACACACCAAAGTCTGATTTTTCATTTACATTAAGGCAGGCTGGGAGTGAGACTGCCATAAAGTTGGAAGAAATTATTACATAAACAAGCAGTAAAGAGGGATTTGTGTTAAGGATGATCATGTCTGAAATTCTGCACCTTCGGAGCATTGCAGTGGTTTTTATCCCATTTCTACCTCTGCCTATGAGTTGGGGGAGGACTAAGAGGTACAGCAAATACTTTATGTTCTATGTTATTAAGAATTATTTATAAAGATCTTGAATAACTGGGGTTTCACAGTTTGCTGGCCATAATATTTACTTAAGCACCTCCAGTTGGGGAAATCCAAATATGAATTAAATATGAGCTGGGCAGTTTTAAATGTTGCTCTGAGACCTCGTGTCAGGGAAATGTTCTTTTAAAAGAAGCAGATTGCTGTTTATCCAGGCCAGGAAGGTAAAGGATATGGGAAGTCCTGAGGAATTTGATGAAAAATTTCAGTCAGGCAATAAAAACATCTAAGTACCAGATGTTTGACTTTGGAATTTGAACCAGTCACAAGAAAGCACATAAATCTCTTGTGATACCTACCAGTCACAACCCCAATAAGGTTTAAATCATAAGTGAAAGATGAAAACAATGGAGAGAAATCCTTTTTCTCACACAAATATAAGGAAGAGAGAAGCCCAGCATCATTGGGTTCTTGAATGGAACATGATGACTTTGATAGTGACTTTGAACAGAGTGATTTCAAGCCCATCTTTTTCATTTTCTTTCCTTTATGGAAGAAGACGTTTCTCTCCCTCCCCCATGTCCCATGAAAATCAAATAGAGATGGCCTAAATATACTTAAAGGGATTTGCATCCCAAAGACAAGAAAGTTTAGAGTCAGCTCAACCTGGCAGGCTCATTTGCTCACATTCAATGAAGACAGCTGTGAATTTCAAGAGAAATTGATACTGGTTGGTTAGTTAAGGCAGAAGCCAGAGGAGGTTTGTGCTTTATGGACTAAACTGCAAAATAATATTTCTGTGGAAGGAAATGACCGTAAATGGCACAGAAACAAGTCATTCATAAAAATAGCAGTTGAAGAAATGCATTTCTAGGAGGACTTGGGGCTACATGGTTTTATGCTTACAGGCACTTTGTGCTAAAGATGTCAATTTCTCACCAACTCTTTTCACACTCATATTCCAAGTTAAAAATATTCCCCAATAGGCAATAGGACCTACATTAACACCTGTAGGAACTACACAAGCTCTGACTGAGTAGGTTCATGAGTTTTACAGCCAAATAAATGAGTTCTCCTGGGTAATTTGGGAACATGAGCATGAGCACACAGCTCTTCAGACATCCTCACTCTCTCTGAACAGAGATTCACTTCCCATTGTTGCTTCATTGTTACCTGGTTGGTGATGGCTGCCCAGTCCTCTTCCCAGGAGACACCTAAGGCATCCAAGCCACTCCCAAGTTACTCTACATGAATATGACATCTTGAGAGACTGTTCTGGAAACTACTTTCCATTTTTCCAAAAAGCGTGTGACTGTTCTGCTCTGTCTCTCCCTCTCAGCTGGGCATCTTCCCCAGCTATGAGCAACCTGAGGAAGCTGTAAAGTGACAATGGGCACTTCTCACTTCCAACATCG